GTGGCCGTTTGCTGTCCGGTACGCCGCGCATCAGCTCAACCTCTGGCCCCGTGTCTCCTTGCCGGAGACCTCGCCCACACTGCGTTGGACGGGGGAGGTTGGCGATGCGTCGCGCTTCCGGGTGTGGGGTGCTCGTGCCCTTGTCCGCGATACGTCCGCGGACAAGCTCTCCTCCCGCACGCTTCCCTGTGTCTTCCTTGGCTTTGTCCCTGACGCGCCTGGCTGGCAGTTTTACCACCCCACCTCGCGCCGGGTCTTCGCCTCTCAGGATGTCACCTTTGACGAGTCGGTCCCCTTTTACCGTCTCTTCCCCTACCGCACTGCCCCCCTCCCTCCCCCGCCACTTTTCCTTGCTCCTGGTCCCCCTCCGGTAGACCCCCTTCCCCCTCAGGGTCCTGCTCCTTCAGGTGTCTCTCAGGTAGACCCTCCTCCCGTCGCTGAGCCTGTCGAGGTCACAGGTGACTCAGGTGCTGCTGCGGGTGGTGCTGCTGGGAGTGCTGAGCCTGGGGGTGCTGAGCCTGGGGGTGCTGGGCCTGGGGGTGCTGGGGCTGCAGGTGCTGGGACTGAGGGTGCTGGAGCTGAGGGTACGGTGCCTGAGAGTACGGAGCCTGGGGGTGCTGCGCCTAGGGGTGCTGAGCCTGCGGGTGCGAGGCCTGGGGGTGCTGAGCCTGGGGGTGCTGCGACTGGGGGTGCTGAGCCTGCGGGTACTGAGCCTGCGGGTACTGTGTCTGGGGGTGCTCCGGTTCGGGGTGTTGAGCAGTCTCTCACACCGCAGCAGCTTCGTGACTGGTACGTCCGACGCTTTCGCCGTCCTAGTGGCTCGGCTGGAGTTTGGGGTGCTGGAGCTGCCGGGACTGGCTGTTCTGGGAGCACTGCGACTGGAGCTGCTGGAGCTGGGGACTCTGGCGCTGGCGGTGCTAGCGGAGTTGGAGCTGCCGACTCTGGGGGTGGCGCTGCTGCTGGTGCTGCGGACCCACCTGGTGGAGCTGCTGCTGGTGCTGAGGAGTCGGACGGTGGAGCTGCTGCTGGAGCTGGGGACCCGGCCGGTGGAGCTGCTGCTGGTGCTGTGGACCCGGACGCTGGAGCTCCTACTGGTGCTGAGGACCCGGCCGCTGGAGTCCCTTCTGCTTCTGGAGACGCTGCACGGCCGCGACCGTACTTCGTACCGCTCCTTCAGCAGGTTCTTGGGCAGGCTCCTCCTCCTTGTCCTCCTCCCTCCGTAGAGTGTCCTCCGCCTGTCCAGCCGCAGTCACAGTTACCGCCTGCCTCGCCTCTCCCTGCTCCCTCTCCTTACGCTGGTCCCACAGGAGGTCTTACAGAGCGTCGTGAGCCTGAGTCTCGTCCTGCGTCGCCTGTTCGCACTGCTCGCACTGGTCGTCGTGTCCGTCGTGAGCGTCCTCCTCCTGTCCCAGGCACTCACTACATGACTCTGCGTCCCTCTACTGCTCCTCGGCGTGTCCCTCTACCGTCTCCTCCTGCGTCCTCTTTGCCTGCCGTTCCGGACCCTGAGTCTGACCGGTATCGCGCTGAGCACCCTACAGTCACGCGTCTCCTCGCTACTGTTGTCACTGACCCTACCTTTGAGTCCTCGGCTGCGTCTGCTCTGGTCGCTGAGTTGGTTGACTTTGCTGCTGCCTGTCGTCTAGACTACGCTGCTCGCCTTGTTGCTGAGTCTGAGTCTGCGTCTGTCTGTCCTCCGTCCGTCGGGGGTGAGTGTGCTCTTGGCACGGACGTCCTTGAGGACAGGCAGGAGGACTTTGACTCTCTTGCGGCTGCTGTACCTCATCTCGTGGCCTGGTTGCTTGCCCCTGAGGGAGACCCGGATGCACTAGACATCCCCACTCCGCGCACTTACGCAGAGGCGATCTCGGGTCCCTACTCCTCTCAGTGGCAGACAGCCATGGACGCAGAGATGGCATCCTGGAAGTCCACAGGCACCTACGTCGACGAGGTTCCCCCTCCTGGGGCGAACATCGTCGATGGCATGTGGATTTTCAGGGTGAAGCGGCCGCCAGGTTCTCCGCCTGTCTTCAAGGCTCGTTACGTTGCTAGAGGCTTCAGTCAGCGTCAGGGGGTCGACTTCTTCCAGACCTTCTCCCCCACCCCGAAGATGACCACTCTTCGGGTTCTGCTGCACGTTGCCGCTCAGCGTGACTACGAGCTTCACTCTCTTGACTTCAGCACAGCCTTCCTGCAGGGCAGCCTGCACGAGGAGATCTGGCTGCGCCGCCCACCTGGCTTTACTGGGTCGTTTCCCCCTGGTACCCAGTGGAGTCTCCGCCGGCCAGTCTACGGTCTCCGCCAGGCGCCACGTGAGTGGCACGACACACTGAGGACTACTCTTGCGGCTCTTGGGTTCGCGCCGTCTACTGCTGACCCGTCGCTGTTTCTGCGCACAGACACGTCGCTGCCGCCGTTCTACATTCTCGTGTACGTCGACGACTTGGTCTTTGCTACTGCTGACACTGAGGCACTCGCTCGTGTGAAGTCGGAGCTACAGAAGAGACACACCTGCACTGACCTGGGTGAACTGCGTAGCTACCTTGGCTTGCAGATCACCCGGGACAGAGCTCGCCGCACCATCACCCTGACTCAGTCACACATGGTGCAGCAGGTCCTTCAGCGCTTCGGCTTCCAGTTCTCCTCACCACATGCCACACCTCTGGCTACCAGCCACTCGCTCTCAGCTCCACCTTCGGACGAGTCCGTAGAGCCGAGTGGCCCGTACCCAGAGCTTGTAGGCTGCCTCATGTACCTGATGACTTGCACGCGACCTGACCTCGCGTACCCTCTTAGCATCCTTGCTCGTTACGTTGCGCCTGGGAGACACAGGCGAGAGCACTGGGAGGCTGCTAAGAGGGTGCTGCGTTACCTGTGCAGTACATCAGGCATGGGGCTGGTGCTTGGAGGACGCGACAGAGTTGTCCTCACTGGTCACTCGGACGCCTCTTGGGTGGACGACCTGGCTACGCAGCGGTCGTCACAGGGTTACACCTTCAGCCTTGGCTCAGGTTCTGTCTCGTGGCGGTCCACCCGCTCTTCCTCTGTTCTCGGCTCTAGTTGTGAGGCTGAGATCTACGCCACAGCCATGGCTGCACAGGAGTTACGCTGGCTCACCTACCTGCTGACTGACTTGGGAGAGCGGCCTAGTTCTCCTCCAGTTCTGTACGGTGACAACAAGGCGGCTCTTGCCTTGTGTCAGGAGCACAGACTGGAGCACAGGACGAAGCACATTGCTCTTCGCTACTTTCTTGCTCGAGAGCTTCAGCAGCGCGGTCAGCTTCGGCTTGTGTACGTGGACTCGAAGGCCAACACTGCTGATATCTTCACCAAGGCGCTCCCGCCTAGTGATCATCAGCGGCACTGTACTTCTTTAGGCCTTGTGTCCACGTTTCCTCACTTGCTTACTGCTTGACATTCTTTGTACTGTACTTTATATATATCTTGTTGCTTGCTTGCTAGGTTTTGATCACTGTGTTGCTTGTCTTGTACTATATCTAGCACTGCATGTGAACTGGCCTTGTGGCCTTTACTTGTGCTCGGAGTGTGGTGACGTTGTGATCCACCCTGGGCGTTGCTTTGCTTTGCTGGACTGGTCTTGTGACCCTTTGTTCTCCCCCACTTTGCCTATGGGGGTGTGTCAAACTGTAGTATGCTTGTAGGCTGTAGTGGGGTAGCCAATATGGGGTACAACCCCAACTAGGGTTTCATATTTGTACCCAAAACTTCTGCTAGTTCATCATTCTTGCCTAGTTATTCTGAAAAAGACACCCCCCCTTTTTTTCCTGTATTTTTAGATCTACCCTAGGGTGTTATGTCCGGGAGAATACGGTAAAAGGGCTTGTTTGTATAGCGGGTCCGTGCGCCCATAACCCCCCATACAAACGCGACTGCAACCCCCCTAAGATCAATCGGGGATCTCACAGTGCAGATCTACTGACACCCTCCCCACGCTAGGAGGCTCAGGACTGAGCACAGCATGTCGGAATCACAGCCACTAACCACTGGGATAAAAGGGCTTGTTTGTGTAGCGGGTGAATGCGCCCATAACCCCCCAGGCCGACGTGCTTGTAACCCTTCCCTAGGATCAATCGGGGATCTCCAGTGGACCTCTGACACCCCCCCGCACTGCGATGTCCGAGGTGCACACATCACGATTCAAACCTGAGACCTTCGTTCTGACAACATGTCAGAATCCTAGCCACTAACCACTGGGATAGAAGGGCTTGTTTGTGTAGCGGGTGAATGCGCCCATAACCCCCCAGGCCGCCGTGCCTGTAACCCTTCCCTAGGATCAATCGGGAATCTCCAGTGGACCTCTGACACAGCGGCAACGGTCTGCATGTGCATACATCAGAATTCGAACCCGAGACCGCTCTGATACAATGTCAGAAATCCCAACCACTAAACCACTGGGATAAAAGGGCTTGTTTGTATAGCGGGTCCGTGCGCCCATAACCCCCCAGACAAACGCGCTTGTAACCCCCCTAGGATCAATCGGGGATCTCACAGTGGAAATCTACTGACAACTTGTAAACCATACTGGAATTTAGGATTTATCTTGTAAAGAGGGGATGTTGCCAGCACAAGCAGCTTTGCTGCATTCCCCACGTGGCAAGTGGTGGCGATACATGCATTGTCAGAAATAACTGAGCAGGAATGAATTGAACTAGCACAGAGTTTGGTACAAGTAGGAAACCCTAACTTTGTGTATCCCCTAAGGTGTAACCCACTACAGCCTACACAATATAAACATACAATGTTTGACACACCCCCATAGGCGCAGTGGGAGACAACCACAGGGTCACAAGACCAGTCAAAGCAAAGCAAAGCAAGCTCAGGGTGGATCTCAAGGATTCCACACAAATTCCGAGCACAAGCAAGCGGTCACAAGACCAGTTCACATGCAGGTTTATAACAAAGCAAGAGATACAGTGATCACAACCTAGCAAAAGTAAACAAGTAGGCATATATATATAGTGATCACAGTACAAGCAAGGTCAAGAGGTAAGCAAGTGAGGCCCAGTAGGTACAAGGCCTAGCAGAGTGCAAAAGCGCTGATGGTCACAAGGCTGAAGCGCCTTGGTGAACACATCAGTAGTGTTGGCCTCCGTGGCCACGTAACGCAGACAAAGCTGACCACGCTGCTGCAGCTCTCGAGCAAGGAAGTACCGCAGAGCGATGTGCTTCGTTCTGTGCTCCAGTCTGTGCTCCTCACACAAGGCAATGGCAGCCTTGTTGTCGACGTACAGCACTGGAGGAGAACGAGGCCGCTCTCCGAGGTCGGTCAGCAGGTAGGTCAGCCAGCGTAGCTCCTGAGCAGCCATGGCTGTGGCGTAGATCTCAGCCTCACAACTGGAGCTGAGAACAGAAGAAGAGCGAGTAGAACGCCAAGAAACTGAGCCAGAGCCAAGGCTGAAGGTGTAACCCTGGGACGACCGCTGAGTAGCCTGGTCGTCTGCCCAAGAAGAGTCTGAGTGCCCTGTGAGAACAACCCGGTCTCGCCCTCCAAGCACAAGCCCCATGCCCGACGTACTGCACAAGTAGCGCAACACCCTCTTAGCAGCATCCATGTGCTCCTTCCGGTGACGGCCAGGAGCGACATAGCGTGCTAGGATGCTAAGAGGGTATGCAAGGTCAGGTCGAGTGCAGGTCATCAGGTACATGAGGCAGCCCACAAGCTCTGGATACGGGCCACTCGGCTCTACGGACTCATCCGAAGGCAGAGCTGAGAGCGAGTGACCGGTAGGCAGAGGAGTGGACTGAGGCGAGGAGTACGTGAAGCGGAAGCGCTGGAGAACCTGCTGCACCATGTGTGACTGAGTCAGGGTGATGGTGCGCCGTGCTCTGTCCCGGGTGATCCGCAAGCCAAGATAGCTCGTCAGCTCACCCAGGTCTGTGCACGTGTGTCTCCTCTGCAGCTCCGACTTCACGTGAGCGAGTGCCGCGGTGTCAGCAGTGGCAAAGACCAAGTCGTCGACGTACACGAGGATGTAGAACGGCGGCAGCGAGGTGTCGGTGCGTAGAAACAGCGACGGGTCAGCAGTAGAGGGAGCGAACCCAAGAGCCGCAAGTGTCGTCCTCAGTGTGTCGTGCCACTCACGTGGCGCCTGGCGGAGACCGTAGACCGGCCGCTGAAGCCTCCACTGGGTGCCAGGAGGAACTGACCCAGTGAAGCCAGGGGGGCGGCGCAGCCAGATCTCCTCGTGCAGGCTGCCCTGCAAGAAAGCAGTGCTGAAGTCAAGAGAGTGAAGCTCGTAGTCGCGGTGAGCGGCTATGTGCAGCAGCACCCGAAGAGTAGTCATCTTCGGGGTGGGGGAGAAGGTCTGAAAGAAGTCTACTCCCTCTCGCTGACTGAAGCCTCGAGCCACGTAGCGCGCCTTGAAGACAGGCGGAGAACCCGGCGGCCGCTTCACCCTGAAATCCACATGCCACTGACAATGTTCGCCCCAGGAGGGGGAACCTCGTCTACGTAGGTGCCTGTGGACTTCCAGGAGGCCATCTCTGCGTCCATGGCTGTCTGCCACTGAGAGGAGTAGGGACCCGCCATCGCCTCAGCGTAAGAGCGTGGGGTCGGGATGTCTGGTGCATCCGGGTCTCCCTCAGGGGCAACTAGCAAGGACACGAGACGGGGCAAAGCAGCAGCAAGGCAGTGGAACTCCTCCTGTCTGTCCTCAAGGACGTCCGTGCCGAGGGCACACTCACCCCCGACGGACGGAGGACAGGCAGACGCAGACTCAGACCTAGCGACAAGGCTGGCAGCGTAGTCTAGGCGACAGCGAGCAGCAAAGTCAACCAACTCAGCGACCAGAGCAGACGCAGCAGAGGACTCAAAGGTCGGGTCAGTGACAACTGTAGCGAGGAGACGCGTAACAGTGGGACTGGCAGCACGACGGGAGTCAGACTCCGGGTCAGGAAGAGTAGGAAGAGAGGACGCAGGAGGAGACGGCAGCGGGACACGCTGCGGAGCAGTGGAGGGACGCAGAGTCATGTAGTGAGTGCCAGGGACAGGAGGAGGACGCTCACGTGGGACACGACGACCAGTGCGAGCAGTACGAATAGGCGACGCAGGACGAGACTCAGGCTCACGACGCTCTGTAAGACCTCCTGTGGGACCAGCGTAAGGAGAGGGAGCAGGGAGAGGCGAGGCAGGCGGTAACTGTGACTGCGGCTGGACAGGCAGAGGACACTCGACGGAGGGAGGAGGACTAGGAGGAGGAGCCTGACCAAGAACCTGCTGAAGGAGCGGTACGAAGTACGGTCGCGGCCGCGCAGCGTCTCCAGAAGCAGCAGGGACACCAGTGGCAGCCCCAACGCCCGAGTCCTCAGCACCAGCAGTAGCTCCAACGCCCGGGTCCTCAGCACCAGTAGGAGCTCCAACGCCCGAGTCCTCAGCACCAGCAGCAGCGCCACCGGTCGGGTCCTCAGCACCAGCAGCAGCTCCAACGCCCGGGTCCTCAGCACCAGCAGCAGGGCCACTGGTCAGGTCCTCAGCACCAGCAGCAGCGCCACCGGTCGGGTCCTCAGCACCAGCAGCAGCTCCAACGCCCGGGTCCTCAGCACCAGCAGCAGCTCCAGCCCCCGGGTCCTCAGCACCAGCAGTAGCTCCAGCGTCCGGGTCCTCAGCACCAGCAACAGCACCACCGCTCGGGTCCGCAGCACCAGGAGCACCACTACGAAGACTGCAGCGCCGCGTGTACCACTCGCGGATCACCTGAATGGGGGGGAGCTCCTGGGTAGGAGGGAAAGTACCGGGACGAGCTCCAGAAGCACCTCTCCGGAGGCGGCAGTACTCGAGGTACCTCTCCTGCAGCTGCTGGGAGGAGAGGGCTCCTCCAGGTGGAGCACGCTCAGGCTCAGCACCCCCAGACTCAGCACCCCCAGACTCAGCACGTCCAGACTCAGCACCCCCAGGCTCAGTACCTCCAGGCTCCGCACCTCCAGGCTCCGCACCTCCAGGCTCCGCACCTCCAGGCTCCGCACCTCCAGGCTCCGCACCTCCAGGCTCAGCACCCCCAGGCTCCGCACCTCCAGGCTCAGCACCCCCAGGCTCAGCACCCCCAGACGCAGGACGCGAGTCAACAGCTACCTCGACAGGCTCACCCGGGTCTACCTGGGACACACCTGAGGGAGCGGCACCCTGAGGGGGGAGGGGTTCTGGTACCTCAGCACCTGGAGCGAGGAAGAGAGGCGGGGGGGGGAGCGGGGCAGTGCGGTAGGGGAAGAGGCGGTAGAAGGGGACGGACTCGTCAAAAGTGACGTCCTGAGAGGCCAGAACCCGGCGCGAGGTGACGTGGTAAAACTGCCATCCAGGCGCGTCGGGAACAAAGCCAAGGAAGACACAGGGAAGAGCGCGACGGGAGAGCTTGTCCACAGACGTGTCGCGGACAAAAGCTCGGGATCCCCACACCCGGAAACGCGACGCATCGCCAACCTCTCCCGTCCACCGCAGAGTCGGGGAAGTCTCCGGCAAGGAGACACGGGGCTAGAGGTTGAGCTGATGCGCAGCGTACCGGACCGCAAACGGCCACAGAAAGTGGGGAGCAGCCGCATGGGTCAGGGAGGTACGAGCGACCTCCATGACTAAGCCAATGCGGCGCTCAGCAACCCCATTCTGCTGTGGAGAGGCCGGAAGCGTGTACGACTGCTCAATGCCGTGCTCAGCACAGTAGGCTGCCAGGAGGTCGGAGGCAAACTCACCACCTCTGTCAGAGTGCAAGCGCAGGACAGGAAAGTCCGAGTGAAAGCGCTCGGCTAGCTGGAGACGGGCTCGGCTGATCCAGGGGATCAAAACACCAGGGACGTCACCCTTGGCGCGCAAGGGGAAGACCGTGGTGTAGCGCGAGTAGTCGTCAACAACTATCAGGAAGTACCTCTCCTGACCCTGACCACGGACGCGGGCTGGGCCCCACACGTCCATGTGGAGCGTCTGCAGGGGAGCGGTCGTCGGGGGAAAGGAGGAGGAGTGAGGAGCGGCGCGCTGCCGCCCCTCGACACAGGGAATGCAGTCAGGAGCAGGGGAGTCAGGAAGGGGAGGGAGCACCCTGGGAAGACCAGCAACAAGGTCCCGTTTGTGCATGGCCCGCAGGCGCTGCACAGACGGGTGACCAAGGCGGTGGTGCCAGAGGACGGTGTCGTTCGCCAGAGAGCGACACGAGCAGGGGGCGGACAGCTGACCTGACGCTGACGCAGACGCAGCTACCTGAGGGGACTCAGTGGTCAGTGTGTACAGGTCAGACCCCGGCTCTCGAGTGAAAGTAGCTAGGTGGCGGCCCGTCCGAGCACATGTGCAGTGAGTCACACGCTCGTAGGCAGGGGTGAACTGGTGAACACCCCCGTCCTGGAGTGCACTACCTGCCACCAAGTTCGTGGAGAACGAGGGGAGGTAGAGACCTGAGAGCGTGCCGGACGGAACCGCTGGACACGGAAGGGTGGTGGAGGAGGTCGCAAGGACCGGACCCCCAGAGGGGTCAGCAAGAGAGACAGCAACCGGCCGAGCTAGAGGCTCAAGGACAGTGCGGTCACGAAAGAAAGAGCGAGAAGCACCTGAGTCCAGTGTGAAGGTGTGCAGTGCTGCAGTCAACTCAGTACCAGGGGGCACAGACGCACAAGCACCTAGAGCAGCAGCTGCAGTAGTACCTGTGGGAGCAGACACACTAGCACCTAGAGCAGCAGCGGGGCTGGCCTGAATGCCCGGGTCGGGCGGAACACGCAAGTACTGAGCACCCTCTCCACTAATAGACATCGCATACATGGCAGTGAGGATAGCATCAAAGTCTAGTGCCCAAATATCAACACCCTTCCTGAGCAGCTCAGCCCAGCGCGGCAGCTCACCCCCACCAGGAAACTGGGTGCGCCACGCGTCGTTGAGGCGGGCGAAGCAGCGCTCCGTCTGGTGCGGCCCCCCACACGTCTGGCCAGTGCGGTCACCTGTGCGAATAACGTACTGGCAGGTGACGCTGCGCCGCGCATACCACTCACGGGCGGCCTGAAGGGTCGGGGCAGGCTGCTGACTCTGACCGCCCCCCGGGCCTCCACGACCACCACCCCCGCCGCCTCCGCCCCGGCCACCTCCACCCCTGCCGCTGCCACGACCACCTCCGCCTCCGATGCCACCTCCGCCCCTGTCACCACTCCCACCGCCGCTGTCACCTCCACCACTGCCGCCACTAGCCTCTCCAGTCGCACCTCCACCGCCACCACCTCCACTCCCGCCTCCTCCGCCACCACCCCCACTCCTGCCACTCCTGCCCCTGCGTCGTCCGCCTGAAGCAGACGCAGCTCCGACCTTCTCAGCACCAAGGAGGTCGACAGCAGCAGCAGAGGCGACAGAGGGGAGGAGGGGGGAAGGGGAGCACCCCTCGAAGAAGGGGCCGCGGGGGTCGCCACGAGAGGTGCCTACAGCGACGATACTAGCCTCGGCTGCAAGCAGTTCCTTCTCGAGGAGGTCTACGGTGAGTTCAGTGGGGGAGCGAGAGAGGAACTGGTCCCTGACAGGGCGCAGAGAGTCAGGGAGGCGGGTGACAACGTGGTAGAGAGTGATCCAGAGCGGGGGGGGGTTGCTAGCGAGGAACTCGTCAGGCATGGCAGCGCGAAAGCGAGCCTCACTAGTCTTAAGGTGGGTGATGAGGTCTGCGACAGTGTGAAAGGAGGCTAGGTCGGGGAACAGGTAGGGGAGAGTGAGGCGGCCTAGCGTGGCAGAAGCGGGTGAGGAGTAGCGGGCCACTACAGCTGTGTAGAGGTCCTTAGCAGTCTTGCACTGGCCGAAGTGCTCGCGCTCATCTAGTGGCAGGGAGTTGCGAATAGCAAAGCGAGCGTGCGCGTCACGGGTCTGCCACTGTGAGCGCTCAGCTGGGGGGGCAGTAGTGAGTGGGGCGGTCGCATGGCCGAGAGCGTGGTCGTACAGAGTAATATCTTCCTTGGCAGTGAGCTGTAGGAAAAGGTGCAGGTCATCTAGCCAGGTTTCGAATTTGACCGGACGGCCCTCGGCGTCGAAAGCTAGAACAGGAGGACTAGCCATAGCGACAGCGGCAGTAGTAGAAGCAGTAAAGTCACTGAAAAGGCGTGCGCAGGGTCAGCGGGGCCGGTGGGGCCTACGGACTGTAGTGGCGCACAAGCAGCAGTAGCAGGAAGTGTAGTAGCAGGATCTGCAGTGGTGCACAGGCGCAGCAGGCGGCAGCGAGAGCCGGCGCAGCAGGGGCGGGCTCAGCAGCGGTGATACGCGGGCAGCGGCGGGCGCAGCAGCGGCGGTGCGCGGGCGGCGGCGGGCTCAGCAGCGGCGGTGCGCGGGCGGCTGCGGGCTCAGCAGCGGCGGGCCGGTAGCAGGCAGTGCGCGGGCCGCGCGGGCCGTATGTGAGCTGTGCGGGCAGCGTGCGGGCCGGCGGCGGTCAGCGCACGAGCCGCGCAGGCTCAGCGCGGGCTGCGCGGGCTGCTCGCGGGCTGCGTAAGCGGGTCGCGGGCGGCTCGCGGGGGTTCGCGGGCAGGTCGCGGGCTGCTCGCGGGCAGTTCGCGGGCTGTGTGCGGGCTGCGCGGGCTGGTCGCGGGCTGCGCAGGCGGTTCGCGGGCTGTGCGTGGGCGGTTCGCGGGCTGTGAGCGCGGCGCGCTGTGCGGTTCGCGGGCGGCGTGACGGGGCCGATCGGGGCGCTAAGGGGCGACGCGACGGGGGCCGTGAGAGGCCGCTAGGAAAAAAAAAGTTCGACGGGGCCGCAGGGCCGCTAGATCGTGCTAGATCGACGGGGCCAGCGGGGCCGGAAACAAGTGAAGGTAAGCAGGTAGGTAAGTCGGTGGGCCCTAAGAACAGTCCTAGCGAAGGACCTGCTCTGATACCATGTCAGAAATAACTGAGCAGGAATGAATTGAACTAGCACAGAGTTTGGTACAAGTAGGAAACCCTAACTTTGTGTATCCCCTAAGGTGTAACCCACTACAGCCTACACAATATAAACATACAATGTTTGACATGCATCACCACCAAGGTCGGCTGAGTTCAATGAACTTGCCCCCTGCGTGGTTCCTACACATTTAGTATACGGTAAATAAGAGTAGTGGGGAACACGAATCGTCCTAGCTAGCCATGTACTCTAAGGGGTACATTCCCTTATTTGAATTCAAACCCAACAGTGCGATGCGTACAGTTACGAAACTGTTCCCGCCTTTTTCCTCACTTCTGCAGTTGCCCGATAGTGTCTCCTCCGACGGTCCAGATGCTTCGCAACTGTTCGTGTCGCCTTTGACCCTTCGCCTTCGTTCCCTCTTCTAAGTTCTTTGTTGTTGCTATTGGCAGGAATGCACAGTTACGTTTCTTATTTCACTAATCGTAACACCCCCCTTCATTCCTCGCCGTAGCAAGTCTTTACCCGTTTGACTACTCCGCTGAGTTCGGAGCAATGCCGAACCTGCTGACGGGGCAGTCGCTTTGTGAGGAATTCGACTGCCGTATCACCCGTTTGGCAGTAGGTCACACCTTGCCCTTGTCCACTTCGTCCTTGACGAAGAAGTACCGCAGTGCAATGTGTGTGGTGCGGTTTACGAATCCTGGTTTGTTCGCGATTCGGATCGCGGTCTGGTTGTCGCAGTGCAGGCGAAAGATTGGCGAGGCTGGGATTTTCGCTTCTTGCAGGAGTTCCTTCGCGAACTGCTGCTGTCGCGGCGATGAATTCAGCTTCAGCCGATGATAGGGCAACCAACTCGCTCTTCTGCGGATTCCACGAGATTGGTCTTGTTGGCTCGAGGCGAAACAGGAACCTAGTTCTGGACCATCAATTGTCGGGGTCAGCTGCGTCATTGGCGTCCACGTAGTCGATGAGATTGAAGGATAGAGTTGCCAGTGTTGAGTAGTCGAGCGTTGAAATGAAGAACTGCTGGGTGCGCTGAAGATCTAGAAGGTTCTCAGCCGTCAGTTTGCGGGAGTACTGGGCCAGTTGACTTGCGATAAAGGAAAGGTCTGACCTGCATGTTACTGAGGTCAAGAGCTGGCATCCCAACTGCTATTGGTAAGCCTGAATTCCAGCACAGGACAGGGCTTTGTTGTCAGGTTTGTGGTTCGGTCCGGGAGTGCGGTAAGGGGTAGAGAGTGGTGCAGGCATTATGTTGAAGCATTTGCCAAGCTCCTCTACGTACTTGGCTGCCGAGAGATGAATGGCTCCTAGCGCGTAGGAGAAGTTAAGGCCAAGGAACTGCTTCACGTCATGGTTGTAGGTGATGTCAACGCGCGTCGCTAGGTTCTTCTCGAAGCTCCTCTACGTACTTGGCTGCCGAGAGATGAATGGCTTCTAGCGCGTAGGAGAAGTTAAGGCCAAGGAACTGCTTCATGTCAAGGTTGTAGGTGATGTCAACGCGCGTCGCTAGGTTCTTCTCAAATTGTTCGAGCAGCTTGTTGTTTGACCCTGTGTAAAGTAGATCATCGACGTAAACTGTAAGCAAGATGTAATCGCCGTGGAAATATCGGCGATACATCCCTGGATCATGGGGAAGTTGCTTGAAACCGATTTTGAGTAGGATGTTGTGCAGGTACTGCTTCCAGAGCCTCGGCGCTTGCTTGATCCCGTAAAGAGACTTTCGTAGTTGGCACACGCGTGAGTCTCCCTCCCCGTACATATGCGGTTGTTCCACGTAGATTACCGCATCCACTCACGCATAAAGAAATGTGTTCTTCACGTCGATCTGACGAAGCGGTAAGTGCCTTGCGGTAGCGATGGCGAGTAAAATCCTGACGGAGGTATGACGGCAGACCGGCGCGAATGTCTGGTCAAAATCAATGCCGTGCCTTTGATCGTAACCACGCACGACCCAACGCGCCTTGAAGCACTCGATCGTGCCGTCCGTTGCGGTCTTCGCACGGAAGGCCCATGTGCCGGAGGGGATCCTTCTCCCCATGATTGCGGCGCGGTCCACGAGCACCCAGGTGTCGCGAGACTCGAGCGCCATGATTTCTGCATCCGTTGCCTCCGGCCATTCCTTGTTGTGCCATCTCGTGAGTGCGTGGCACGGATTCTAAAGCTCGATGACACGTGGCGCTGTGGAGGTGGCGACGTGAAGTCCTAGCAGCTGCAGTCCTGAGACAATGCTGTCATGGCGGTGTTGTGAAACGACCTCTTGTACGTCATCGTTGTCGCTTTCCGTCTCTGGCGGTGGCTGCGCGGGATTTCTGCTGCTTGCTCCTGCTCCGCCGACTTTTCCCTCTGAGGGATCTTTGTCGTTATCGTCATCGTCATCGGTTTGACGGTTGCCTCCTGTAAACTCGCCTCTGGTGTCTTCTTCCAGGATGGTTGCGGCGGCTTCGTCCTCAGGCGTAGCATAGCAATCCCTGTCGATGGCGTAGATGCGGTTCGCGTTTGTTCGCCCGGAATTGGTCGAGACCTAGTGAACCAAAACACCCCCAGAAGTGGCGAGACGAGTGAGCTCGAACGTGCGCACGTAGAAACGGTGTGGTGCACGAAGGAGAGCCTTGGTGAAAATGTCAGAAAGGGTTTAGGTAGCGGCCACCTTGCAAAGGCAGAGGAAGCCAGACTGCACCAGCTTGCGCACAAAGAAGTAGCGGACCTTGATGTGTTTGCTGCAAGCGTGATAGACAAGATTTTTAGTGAGGTGGATCATGCTCGCACTGTCACAGGAGATTGTCACAGACGGCTGAGAGTGACCAAGCTGAGCAAGGAGAAAGGAGAGCCAGCGAGCCTCTTAAGCCGCCAATGTGCCTGCGTACAACTCAGCCTTGCAGGTAGAAAGGCAGATAGAGGATGAGCGAGTGGAGCGCCAGCTGATGACGCCACTGTCACGAGTAAGACCATAACCCTGAAAGGAGCAGCGATAAGGGCGAGAATCAGCGTAGGAGGAATCACCGTAACAGGAAAGAACGGCGGGAGAAGAGCCACCAAGAGTGAGTGCAAGATCAGAGGTAGCATGGAGATCGCGGAGAACGCGCTTGGCAGCTGTCCAGTGCACGTCAGTGTGGCGACCAAGGCCAACAAAACGAGAGAGGATACTGAGGGGGTAAGGGCGACGTCAGGTTGTACATTTCTCAGCACCTTTGCAGTTCTTGTATCGTGGCTTAGGACGGTTTCACACGGTGAGAAGCGGTTCTGAAGCTTTACCGTTTTGCACCATGACGAAATTGAGTTGAGCATGCAGAAGCTGTACAACCTGACGTCGCCCTAAGCAAGATCGGGGCGAGTGCACATCATAGCATACATGAGGGACCCAATCAGCTCAGGATAGGGTCGCAATTTTGAGGAGGGAGCGGGAACGACAGGGGCACTAAGCTAATGATAAGTGGGAAGAGGAGTGGAAAATGGTGTGGTCTGCGACATTTCAAAGTGCTCATGAATGGAGTGGATGTAGAAGGATTGAGAGAGAGAGATGGTCTGCACAGCACGGCCACGACGGATCTCCATGCCGAGGTAATGACGAAGCTCGCCAAGATCCTTGCACAGGAGACGCGCCTGGAGGGCCTGCTTGACAGCGGCAAGGTCGGCAGAATCTTCAGCGAGGAGCACCAAGTCATCGACGTATGCAAGAATGTAAAGCCTAGGGGGGGGGAGTGCGAATGAAGAGACTGGGGTCGAAAGAGGAAGTGGAGGATCCAAGAGA